TTGACTCCCTGACATCACCTTTCTTATTCTGCCTGGTCTTGTGACATCTTACACCGGCTCAAATGTAAGTACTGTCAGTGCATAACAAGATTTGTGCACACAGGTTTTGTAAGAATATATTTTGTGGTTTAATAAACAAATTGTTCCCTAAATGTGCTCAGTAATAGCATTGTGTAAGCAAGCCAATTTTCTGATTAGGAATGGTAGTTCAGAGTAGAAATACCATTTTGTTCTGCTATAAGCACCATTTTTTTGAAAAACATTTTATCACATTTAATTTGCAGACATGATGAGATTTTCACCAGTATTTAGTGATGTGAGAAATTACTTTAAAACTGTCCTTCACTTTAAAAAATTCCTTTAAACACATTGTTTTAGTTATAAAATCAAGACCACAATTACGTAGATGATTAGGAAAGAAGCAGGAAGCTTACAAAATCTTCACAATTTGATTGTTAGTAGCCAAGACACACATTTAGTAACAGAAGGCCTAAAGAGGCAAACAGGGAAATTAGTCAAGTGTAAGTCCTTTTAACTCAGTCAAAAACCTAAAAGACTATATGAGGCACCTTTTTGCTGCCAGCCTTTGGAAAGGTGTACGATTTGAGTCTTGAGATAATTCCACCTCCTGCCCAACTCTAGAAACCACAATGTCAAAGAGGAACAGTAAATGTGTCAGGAAAGTTGCTAACAGTATTTTACAAAACAAGCATGGTATACAAGAACAAAACATGCCCAATTTTTCTCTTATAGTGTCTGCAAGTACACATACAATGCACCCAACAAAATGTAGCATAGGAGATCTTAGTCCTAAATTTTCATCCAACTGTGTTACTCTCAAACCATCATGAAACTACAGATATACTTTAAGGCAGTTTTTAAATTCAGACATACTGCCCTCTCCCCACATCTTTTACATGGTATGTTTCTTCTGTTTTTGTTATTTAACTTTAGCCATCCCCCAATATATTCAGCAATGTAAATTAGCTGGTAACTTTATTGTCTTGATGTATGACTACTGTATCCAGCAAATCTGAAGAACACCTTAATCTTAAAACAATATGATTATTGAAGCAAAAAGCACACAAACTGATATTAATTCCAAACAAAAACAAATAGGCTTTAGATTTTACATCTGCATTTATCTGTTTAAAGATACTTCTAAAAGTAATGCAAAAATGTTTTACAATAATACATCTGCTTAATTAAATGTAAGTAATTAGCATTTCTAGAGGTCAGTGAGAGATCATCCTTGCCTAATTAAAACTGTGATGCAGTACTTATTGACCAAGCATTTAGGCTGATGCTGAAGTTGAAATAATCTGAGCCATGTTTTCAGCCAATTTAACCAATCTTTGAACTGACTTACAGTTAGTGGTTCTGAACCTCTAAATGATACATTTGGATAAATTTTTTCATTAAAAGATAGCTTTTCTAATGGCATTGTTCCCAGCTTTTTTTTTTAAAGAAGTTTGATTTCACACAAGAAAAGGTATCTTTTGTCTCAGAGTACCAAGAACAGCCATGCAATCCATATTCCTACTGGAAGAACAGAAACTTTTTTGGTGCTTGACAGTCTTCACAGCTGTGATACATAAAAACTCAGTTACTACATACTGAAAAATCTTACTGAACGCACTATTGTCTGCTACCATTCTCCTTCCATATTGGGAACAAACAGAAACCTGAAGCAAATCTTAGCTGGCAGAAGCTGGCAGCTTCATTATAATGTCAACAACAGGTTTTAGGTTCATATCAAAAGCTCCTCTGCAGGTTTAAATACATATTGGGATGATGTGCAAGGAAAAAAAAAAATTACAAAATCACTTTAAATCTACTTATGGAGCCTCTAGTGAAAGGCAAGAAAAGTTCTAGTCCACATATGTGCTGACAGAAGTAAGAAAGAATGAGTGTCCATATTCTGTATGGAAAAATTATCTCCACATAGACTTTTTTTCAGAAGGAAGTCCTTCCCTTTGCAGAGGAAGCTTATTAGTATCGCTAAATAGGAGATGTCAAGATCACAGAAAAGTGGACAAGAAACTGTAACTTTTTGTTACTCTTAAGTTTGCTCTTTAAGCATTACCAAATACTACACAATCCCTTCACTGATGTTGTAAATTTTGCTCCAAGCCCTTACACATTAACAGTTTGCAGTTAAATTAGTTGGACAGTCTGCCTTGCACATCATCCAGCAGATCACTCTAAAGTGGTCATAAACTCTATTAGCTTCAAAGCAACATCAGATTTAGCATGCTCTCCACTAAGGCTTTGGAATCTCACCAGTGGATTTCAGGCATTAATATACAGAAAAAGTATTGAAAAATGGCTCTGGATGGGAATACCAATATTAGACTGTACCTCAGAAGAGGCCATTCCCCTCCTTCAGTTGTTAATCACATTCTGTCCCTCTACTCTCTCTCTTTTGCTTCTTTATTCTACTGAAGCTTTTCTCGCAAGTCATAATCACTCCTGTTGCCTTGCTCTGGATTATGTCCTGTTGGACAACATTCTTCAGTGGAGAGACAAAAACTGGTCAAGGTAGTCCAGCATTACTAACACCTTACCAGTGTTGAACAAACTGGAACATTCTTAAGTTTCCCTTTCTTCTACCATCATGATAGTTGCTCATCCTTTCTCCTGTTCTGATCCATTACAGGCATCACATCCTCTAAAAAACTGTTGCTGCTTCCCATCCTGAGTTCTACACTGACTCTTAGAAGTGCAGTATCTTGCACTAGTTTCTACTGAGTTTGATCCTGTTTTTTTCCTGGATTTTTCTCCAGTTCATCACAATTATTCTGAGTCCCAATTCAAACACTCACAATCTCAATTCATATATTTTGGCAATCCATTTTATTAAATAAAAATGTTGCAGAACCTCAGAAATGTCACAAACTCTTAAATATTAATTATGATGGTGTAAATAACATATCCTCTACATAAGACTTTGTGATTGTTCTGTTCTTTTCAGGATGTTTTTGTTTTTGCAGTCTGAATTCATTGTATTTCAGGCTCTGTGTATAAAAAAAACCCTATATGAGTAGCATTTTATAAGTTACCACTTTTGCACAAAGACATTAATGTATGAGAACCTGTCAATATTAACTGAAGTCTTTGAGCTCCACAAATAGTAACATTAATTTAAAACTTTTCACTTCCTATTTTTATGTTTATACTACAGGACAGCAAATTAACTGGCTTGTTTAATAAAACTCCTAAAGAAAATACTCAATTCAGAGTTCATTTTTAAGAAGTTCAGAATGTCAAACATATTGTGGCTGTAAACACTATTTTAGGGGAATATTTGCAAAATGTGCACTCAACACATCACACTCATATCTTTGGTGCTTTTCCTCTATCCATTATGATGAGTCTTCAATGCAACTACTACTGATCAATTCTGAAAACATTAATGGTTGTATGTATAACGTACAAGTGACCAAGTGTATTTAAGTCAGCTAGTTCCTAGAGAAGTACACATTAAAGGGAGGAATTAATCTTACCTAATTATGACTACCTAACAGCAATGGCTATACCCTTGACTCATCACCTAGGTCCCTTCTGAGTTGAAAAACACATGCACATATTGGTGGAAAGTCATTCCACCACTTTTACGCTTGAAGTGACATGTGGACAAGTTATGTGTCTCTCTCTCTTGCTTCAAAATTCCTCAAAAGTAAGCCTTTGTGACTTGCTGAATGACTGGTTCTTCATCTGAGTCCATGAATGTTTGGCAAGATTAATCACACCCTATGTGCATGACCCAGTCTTTCACCTGTAAGTCATCATGAATCATCGGCGTGGTATTACTGCAATGCGCTGCCAAGAAGAAGCTGGTCCGTTTACTTTCCTTGCACAGTCCTAAACATCCGCCAACTTAGTCAAATACATGGTTGGGTTTTTTTATGCTACTTGTTTGATAATACCTAAAGTAAGATTTCTTAAATTTACTTTAATTTACACACAAACTCCAAAATTTTCTATGGATAATCTAAAACCTACATAGAATTCTCACATCAAATGTGCTTGCTCCATCACCACAACTGTGAATATGCCAGACAACTGTTTGTCACAATCATCGTTGTAAATGGAATAGATTCAAACCTCAGGACAACCTTACAAAAGAAAAGAACCAAAACAACAAAACAGGGCATTGATTTTGGTTGCATAATTTCCGGTTATTCAAAGGGGCATTTGATTTTCAAAAAGCACTGGTATGAGAATGGTTGTTCACAGACCCACAGGGACTTGACAATACTGAAATAATTTAAGTGGCTATTTGGAAAATAATATTTTTTTTCTATAATGTGAGACCCCACCAAGATAATGACCTAGATGATTAGGCTCTCCAGGGAGGGGTGAAACAACCAAATTAAAGTCCCTATTTTAGACGAGATAAACTATACCTGAATGAGATGGTGTTATGTATTACACCTTGGATGGCTCCTCTAATCAATGGACTCTAAGAAATCAGGCAATTATATTCACAGATGGGCTTGCTCACTCTTCACGGAGTTGATGAAAGAACTGCCCCTAATTTCACTGCACACAGAATCAAGCAGTTGTGCAAAGTCTGATGTTAACTGCACACACCAATACGAAAATAAATTGAACCTTCATTTCTGTTTCAGTCAGCAGATTCTTAAAATGGACAACGTTAAGAAATCAGTATGTCTCCTCTTAGTGTTGATACAGTCACTATAGAACATGATCAACAATGAGGCATTTTTCACATGAAAAACATTGACTTTCACACATATTATATATATAAAAGAAGTTCACAAAAATAAATTATTAATAGCTCATGCAAAACACTGATGAAAGCAAAACCCACGCTAGGAAATGTTAAGCTTGTTCTTTTCAACTTACTGCTTATATACCCAGAAAAACAAATTCACTGCTCTAAGCAGGGGTCCAAGCATTAGGACTCCTAGAGCAGCATGTGACTGTAAGCCTTCTCAAATGAATACTACTGTTAAACCACCATCTACTCTTACCTTAGAAGGTGTTCCAGGAAGAGGAGGACGAGTGTTAAAAACAACATGATCTGTGAAATAATCAAATGTATAAGGATACTGAGAAAGGTGAGAAATGTACTGTAAGAACATAATTTTTTATACAGGGGACCAATCTGATAGTTTTTAAATCACATTACAGTGTTTCTCCTGGCCCATCTTCTTTTGGTTTTGTCTCCAATGTGCAGCAGACTCTGGTGCTTGCCATCAGAGAGACAAAAGTATGAACACTGCCTAAATGATTCAAAAGAGCAGAAAAATACGAGCCTATTCTCTCACCACTGCACTGGTATCCAGTTAGAATGACAGAAAAAGGCCTTAGAGAACATCACTTCTGGAATAGTATGAGTTAGACAAGGATCAGGCAGAAGCACCTTTTCTCCTCTAGCACTCAGGGCAAGAAGGAGAACAAGGTCTCACTGATATTTAACATGACACCAAAAAAACAAACACGCCAAAGAGCACACTGGACTTCGGGACATTTCATCCCTTCCCCTCCCTTCCTCCAAGTTATCAAGGAATGCCTCTCTGACCCCATTTTCAGCATCAGGTGCAGCCAATCCCTTGTGCTGTCCAGCTCTCCCAATATCAGAAGTAACTTCTCATCAACCAGCTGCTCACCTCTTTGGTGCCCTTCTCACTGCACCCCATCTGAATGCCTACAGCAGTGCTGCTGAGATGCTGGCCTCAGGACTGTGACAGGAGTGCTGGAATGATGAATGTTACTGGGTGTGGGCCAAGTAACACACATTGCCACTTCAAAGCATATTTTGGATCTGACAGTAATTTAGAGCCGGCAATAATTGGAGTTGGTACCTTCCTGAAAGCTATGGGATCTGCCTCCATCCTGCATGATTTGGCAGATCTTAAATAATTTGAAAGGAAATGTAAGGGTTTTTAACCCAACTTTAATCTGCTGTAATCTGCATCCACCTATATGGCAAGTGGAAAAAATGCACACATCTTTATCATCATTAGCATGGCTTTACATACATGTCAAAATAAAAGGAATAACTCACCGTTTTCTGAGCCCAGTCGTGGACAAGGAACGGTAAGAACCCTTAGTAATCCATCTGGTTTGTATGAATAATGCTCAACTAACTACCAGAATGAAAAGGATTAAAGAAAAAAAAAAAAGGAGACAAAAAGATATGAAAAGGTAAGGGATGAATAATTACATATGTTTTCTCTTTAAATTGTGCACATATGTACAATAACTGGTATAAATTACAGCAAGTGAACTAGGCACACAGCAGATCTTTACTGCATGTGTTCTTACCTCATCTTCACTTGTTGTTAGCAGGTGTGCATGTTTCTAAAGTAATCTTTTGGATAGATCTAGAACCTAATCCAGGAACTGGATTTGTAAACATTTCACACCTGGTCCTGCTACTAACCAGCTTTGTAACTGAGCAAATAAATTCTTTTTATACTTCCAAGTTCCCATCCTCTTTTTTCTTTTTTTCTCTCAATTTTTTTGTCCAACTGCAGTGCAGGAATTGTTCTGATAGACAGTACTCAAAAGTCACAATGGGGTGTAAGCAGTTAATACATACATAGCATCAATAGTTCTGGCCATTTGTGTTCCTGTATTGTCCTTTCCACACCATTTTATTACACACTTGTTACTGCTGTTTTAGCATTGGTTCATTTGGGTAGAAAGGAGGGGGTCTGTCACCAAAACTACTGCAGACATACTCTAAAGTCTTCTAAAATAGTATAGCTAATTTTAAATTTGCCGTGGCACCAAAAAAGAAATACCCAGACAATTTACAGGAAAGGCTAAAAAGTAACATAGGTAAGCAAGGACTCATATTTTAGATTTGTGACTGGGTCTAATTGTTTTATTAAAATTTTAAGTAAGAGGACATAGATTTCTGCAGGGGTTTTAATTCCCTTAGGATTTTCAATTTACGCAGTCATTTCTCCAGTATTCAGTTTTATTGTTTACTGTGGCATAATGAACTCTGCATTCCTTAATTGCTTAATCTTTAACAAGACTCAGACTTTTTTTGGTGTTAACCCTCAGCAAACTATGCTTTTTCAGCCTTGAAGGTAGAGAATTACAACGTTAAAAAATGCAGTATGTGTACAGCATCAAAAAACATCCCCTTTGTGCTTCCTATAATTCTGTTTATTGCTGTCATAAAGGACCTTAGAAAAAGACTGTACCCATCATAGCTATTATTAAATATGGTCACTTGCAAAATGGTCTTCCTTTCTAGAGAATGTTCAGCTAACTGAATATTAATTATAGCAATCTTGAATTTTGCCAAGCTCCAACATCACATTTTAAAATTATTTAACTCTCTACACTTTCATAGCTTTCTACATACATTTTCTTCATGTATGGAAACCACATAAAGTTGGAAATACATGACAATCTGTGAAAACATGTTGCTGTTTAGCTAAAGACTATTGTCGCACGGCAAAGTACAACAAGCTGCCTTAGTCACTTATATGGAAATATGATGACAGATACCCAAGTGATTCAAATTTAACAGACCTGCCAGAGGGTGTCAAATCTTTTTCCATCTGGGATGGAGAGCTTTCCTGTCTTATCTCTGTCAATACGGTAATGCAGTACTTTTCCATCATTCAGCAGACATAGGGCATAGGAACCATTGCTGTCCCTTTCTCGGATACTGTAGGAGTAAGAGAGATTTTCATGGTTATACTTTACCAGGAATAAGCATCTAGGTTGCAATTCTTTTTTAAAACACCATTTCATTTGAGCTTTTGAATTAAAACCAAAGCAAAATCAGCACTGCAACTTCTGAAGACATTTTGTTAAGCCTGCCTTTTTTTCTTTTCCTTTTATTTCTTTTTATTTGTCTTCAAAAGGCAATAGATGACAGCAAAAATCCACGATGTGGAGCTCTTTGTTAGGCAGCTACAATGCACAAAGCACTGAGCAAGGAAGTATTAGAAGGCTTGTGCATTTGCAGGCCCACAAAACCCATGGAAATCTGAGGGCAGAATCCAGCGTATACAAGCAGCTACACTTCAGTATCCTCTACAGCTGACCTAAAATTAAAAACAACATAATCATTTTCATTAAAGCAACATATAAGTGCAGTCATTAAAGTGAGATTTCTTTCTTACATATTTTACTTTGAAATAAAGAGATGACAGTAAGGGCAGAATACACAATACTAAAAGAATATAATGTGAAATACAAATAAAGGGAAAATCTTTGTGCACCGGAACAGCTTGTTATTTGGCTGGGAATTTGAAGTAAATCATACATTTCTGTAATCATCAATTCTTATAATTTCTGTAAAGACAGTAAAGCTTTGTTGCAAATTTCACATAAAATTCACAGAATGTAACCTACACCACTGTCTAAAATTCATAGGTAGCCAGGTTGATGTCCCTCTTCTGGGAGATCTAGAAGTGACATCTGAGATTCCTGTAAAGTATTGCTGAGTTGTTTTACATGTACTGGAGGCTAGCTCACACTTAGATCAGAATCTTCTAGTGTGTAGACCCAGAGTACATAGGAATTCACTACTAGCTCAATCACAGTTGGCATAGCATTTTTTGTTTAAAATGAAGGCTTTTATTTTGAGTTGCCTGTATTCACTTGTTTCTGATGGTAAGACAGGAATAGAGCTAGATCAACATTTTCTGGAGTAATGTTGTTGGTTTTTTTTACTTAATTACCAAAAGTAAGAAAGCTTCAGATTCAGCAACACTGAATCATTTCCTGTTGCAGTATGCATAGAAATCTGCTTACCCTCCCTTGAATTTTTCAAGAGCCCTGCGAAGAAATATAGCGGGATACACTCACTAACATGTTGGGAAGCTTCATTGGTGCAACACCAGTACTTGCTATCACATCTCAGAAGACTGCAGAGACAAGCATTAAATTCTGCTCTTCAGCTGACTCACTCATTGCTGAACTAAAACTGTGGGTATTTTCCAGAACTATTCATGCAACTATTTTTTCAAGCAGAGTGACTATTGTTGCCTGAGATGTGAACAGGACACTGCTAAAGGAAAAGGGAAGTAAAGTCCATTTTTTTTTTCTGAAACCAAATGAACTTGCCTAGTGTCTCTAAAGCAACTTGAAACATACTGTGTTTTTTCAGGATATGCAGGTATTTTCTTAGCATGCTGATTTCTTGTTCTGATTGACCAGTGGAGAACAACAGGTTCTGCTAAAATGAAGAATGACTGTTCCTTTGTCTTCCTCTGTCTTGCTTTTGCCAAATAAGGATTCAAAAAATCCTTTCAGAATAGAGGGCATTGTTTCTAAGCCACATATTAATGGCATTTCATTGCATTCAGACTTCTGTTCAGAAAACAGCACAAGTAAGATTATAAAAATGCAGTGGATTGCTTCCCAGGAACAAATGTCCTTCACATTTCATGTGAAGAAATGGTAGCTCCAATACAATAGGCTCTACTGAAATTGATTCTCGTTTGCAAGAGTTGTTACTATCACAAGAGGCACTGTAAACCTTTCTTGAAGTGAGAGGCAGCAAAGGGAGAACAGAGTCCTGACTTCTAAGGACCATGGCACAGATCCAAGCAGCCCTATCAGTATACAGTGCAGGATTTAGGCAGAGTTCAGGTTCATAAGGTTGTAGTTGCATTTCTGAGCTCTTCATTCCACCAACACAACAGCTACATAGTTATGAAGACATCTGAAGTTCACAGGCATGGCAACTTCTGTCTCTATGACTACACATACAAAAAAATCTCCATTCTAACACTTATGATTGATCAGGGTCCATAAGGAGCCTTGTTCTGTTTGGGTTACGGTCCTGGTGTTTAAACTATAGATGGTGAACTCCAGGACAACCTGGATCCCTACAAAACATAGCAGCTAGAGGTACTGCCATCTTGCAAAATGTGTCTGAAGAGCAAAACTATCAAGGGCATTGAAGCAACAGCCAAATCACAGAATCATAGAGTGGTCTGGGTTGGAGGGAACCTTAAAGATCATCTAGTTCAAATCCCTGTGCCATAGGCACTCTCCCACACCTCCCACTAGAACAGGTTGCTCAAAGCCCCATCCAGGGTGGTCTTGAACATATGATGATGGAGCATCTACAACTTCACTGGGCAACCTATGCCAGTGTCTGACCACTCTTATAAAGAAGAACTTTCTCCTTTCCTTACATGTTATCTAAATCTATCTTCTTTCAGTTTAAAGCCGTTACCCCTCAACCTATGATAACAAGTCCTTCTAAAAAGTCTCTCTCAAGCTTTCTTGTAGGCCTCCTTCAGATACTGGAAGGATGCAGTAACGTCTTCCAAGAGCCTCCCAAGGCAATCCAAGCCTGTTTTCATAGGAGAGGTGTTCCAGCCCTCTGATCATCTTTGTGTCTCTCCTCTGGACCTGCTTCACCAGGTCCATGTCCTTCTTGTGTTGGGGGCTCCAGAGCTGGATAAAATATTCCAGGAGCGGTCACATAACAGCAGAGTGGAGGGGGAGAATCACTTCCCTCAACCTGCTGGCCACGGTTCTTTTGATGCAGTGTCAAACACTTTGCACAAGTCCAGGTAGATGACATCTGTAAAAGGCCATCAGATTTGTCAGGCACAATTTTCTCTTGGTGAAGCCATGTTGGTTGCCATCAGTCTCCTTGTCTTCCATGGGCCTTAGCAGAGCCTTCATGAGGATCTGCTCCAGGTTCTTGCTGGGCTCAGAAGTGAGATTGACTGGCCTGCAGTCACATGGGTCTTCCTTTTTTCCCCTCCTTGAAAATGAGGGTCATGTTTCCCTCTTCCCGTCAGTAAAAATTTCACCAGACTGCCATGACTTTTAAAATATGACGGAAAGTGGCTTAGCAACTTCATCTCTGAGTTCCCTCAGGACCCATGGATGGGTCTCCTTGGATCCCATGGATTTGTACACATTCAGCTTCTTTAGTTGGTCCTGAGCCTGATATTCACTTACAGCGGATGCATCTTCCTTCTCCTAGTCCCTTCCTTTGCCTTCTGCAACCTGGGCAGCGATGATCTAAGTCTTAGTTTTGGCAACCAGACCCCCTAGTGGTCCAAAATGCGTTCTCACAGAACTTACCATTATAGCCCAGACCAAAATCTTTTACTACCTCAGGTGACAAAGATTGTCACAGGCCACGTTTCACAACTTCATTTCAGTTTTGTAGACTGTGATAATGGCTTTCTAGGTTGGGCTATACCTCCAGAACTGGAGTTTCGTACACAGTATCCACTACCTTACAGTTACTATAACAAATGGACTCAAAGAAAAAGACTGCTCAAACAGAAAGGTTATAAACTGAAATCTCTTAAATGGAAATCAAGGTTTTCACACCTTCTTGACAGTACTGCCTCTACTACTCAGGGTTATCATATTTGATTAGTGGGTTCTCTTCATATATGGAGCTTGCCTTCTATGAAAAGTAACCATTTTGAGAATATTGAGAAAAAAAAAAAATCCAAAATTCCAAATGCACTGTTTTAATGTGCTCTGAGACTACACACAATATTTACTGTTCTTCAATACAAACTGATAACAAAAATGTCTTCCTTTTAAAAAGCTATATATATATATCTATATATATATCTATTTTTAAAGCATTTTGGTAAGGAAGGAAGCCAGCAGTGAAATATCACCTGGTCTTCCATTTCCCGCCATTGCAGAAAATTACAGATCTACAGAAGAAAGATCTGAATAAATACCTGTAAACAAATAATACTGTCCCTTCATTCACTGATATTAATCATAAATATGAAGAACTTCACGGAGAGCAAACTTAATTCTTCGATGTATTAGAGAAGCACCAGGGTATTTAGATTTTCTAAGACATACATTTTAAAACACCAATTTTGGAAGGAACTGAGAAACTCAAATTGTTATCTGATGCAATGCAAAGAAGCTTTAGTTACTGACTTTAGTTTTCATGCAATCTATGTTCGAGTATTTTGTGTGTGTGTGAATGCAACCCAAACAATAACTCTTTGGAGTATCACTGCAGTACGTGTAAATAGGTATCCATTCTCTTCTTTGGTAAAGTCTCTGGTTTTGCTTGGAAGCAAAAAGAACAATGTCCCATTTTTTTCTGCTTCCATGTGGAAAGCCAAATGATCCCTTTCTGTCTAAAGGAATAAATCCATGAGGGTAAAGGACCATAAACTGCTATCACAACATGCCTCACTGATTGTGCAGAAAAAGAGAAGTCACAGCATTCTACAGTGGACAATAATAAAAGAAATAAAGTAGGAAAATGCTTGCTTTAGGATTGGTGTAAAATTATTCTCATCCTTGAATCCAAGGGTGTGATAAAGTTTATTTTCAGCCTTGCTTTGTCTTCTCAGCAGAAACAGCTTCCTTGATGCTAGTGAGACTGACACTCCCCATAGCTGATCAAGCTCCCGTCATTCCCTTGCTTGTCTGCCCTTATGAGCATCTTTCTCATAATGTTATTAACGGCATGGCTATTCATTATCATTTCAAATATCTGCAGCACACTGCACATGTTCCAACTGTGAGGGCAATAAGAAATGAACCTGGAGCCACCTCTAAAAGGATTATACAAAGTTAAAAATGGATTTACTGCAGTCTTCATTTACACCATTTCTTCTTCCCTGTTTAGTAACAGATTCAAAGCTGCTTCAGAAATGTCAGCACACTACAGAATTTAGGCGCTAGTTCAGCCACACACTA